GGTATTAGCAATGAACTTCCTTGTTTCAGTTAATTTATTTTAGTTACAGTACCTCAAACTGAAGGCAGATAACCAGTCAACTCATCTCTACTAAAGGCCTTAGAAAAGAACTGTCTTACAGTTATGTTTACTCAAATAAGCTGTACAACTACTCATCCACTGTATAAAATCTTGCCCTTTTGGGAAAACACAGTCAAGCATTAGGGACTCATTAGGCAAACAATAATGAGCGACCATTTCAGGGCTAGTATAGAAGCAATTCCTACATCGGATGATGGCCTTGGACTTCTAATGTCGGCTTTAATGCCAATATTCCTTTGTTTAAAATTAAACCCATGCTCAGCTCCCGTTCTTACCGGGTATGTCATAAGGAGGTAGTTTAAGAACAAAGATTCCCCCAGAGGCAGATGGTAGAGCAAACAGAGCCTCCCCGTTGTTGCTAAGCCAGGCTGCTGACGTGGTAGAATTTGGTGAGAGTCCAGGGACTGTTGGAATTAACTGATAGTTGCAGGGATCCCTGAAATCAACTTTTCCAATGTCAGTGAATATTGACTGCATCTGACTTTCAATTACCAACTCCTGTGGAGTAATTAAAAAGAAAAATCTGTTAAATGAAAATAAACTGGATTTTGTGCAGCTCCTCTCAGTTACTACAGAAGTTTTTAAAGTAAAAAATTGTTGAGCTTAAAAAGAAAGCTATTCTTTTTTAAGACAACTATTCTTTTCAACTTAGAATGTGTCTTATCATTTTAAATAGTAATCATGAAAATAGGCTTCATTAGGGCTAGCAAGGAATCTGAATTTTCTTCAATTTCGCAGGACACTGCTTCAGCACTAAATCTGTGACAGTCAGAGTAACTTGGGAAATAAAGGATATTACACTTAACCAACTTACACTCCTGTACATCCGGGAAGGGTGTGGTAAAAGTAACCTGTGCACTGTTTGATTGGTTAATATCAAGATTATCACATGATTCTGAGTCTCAGAGACATGAACCCCTGCAGGTAAGAGGCTGCAATTTTGGAATTTGAGGTGAACTGCATTATTCAACAGATTTATGTCCAGTGACTCTTCCACCAGCTCCAATGTATCTCCAGAGGTCTTCCTATTAAAAAGAAAAGACATTTGTTTTAAAAGTTCATGTTTTTCTTTGTAACTTATTATTGCATTGAAATGTATGGTAATGGTGTCCAGGTGAAGTCTCTCAATTTGAAAATTTTGGATAAACAAACTCAGACCAATTCCAAACCACCACATTACATACTCTATAAAACACAGCATTATATAAAATTCAAATCTTACTATACAATTGTTAAATGGAAGCATTTCCAAACTTGATAGTCCATTTTTTTAAGAAGAATATTCAATGCCACTAAACTCCACTATAATGAAATCTCACACCATACACCCTTATTAGTTATAGTGGAATGTGGCCTCCACATATATTACTACAGTGTCAAACTACACTGACCTTAATAAATGTGAGTATTTCCCCTTCTGTAACGTCTTCCTGCTAAGATGCAGGGCAGACTCTTCTTCAGGCACAGCTCTGCCACGTGGTAGCTTTAGAACCACAGAAAGCACCATGCTGGGAATGCCCGAACTTCCCATCATCCCGTCTACCACATTACCCGAATCCATTCTCTAGGTGATCTCGTTCAGTGTAGCAGCTTTAAATGGCACTGAATGCCAATAATTCCTCAACTGTGTCTTCAGCCCAGACCCTCCATTGAACTCCTGACTACGCCTCAGCACTTCCCCTTCCGTATCTCACAGGGATCTCAAACCAAACCTGTCCAAAACAGAACTCTTGGACCCAGCAAACCCTCTTCACCTGTGCTCTTTTCCAACTCATTAATGGCCATCTCTATAACTTCCAGTTTTTCAAGTCAAAAATCTGGGGGTCACCCTTGAATCTTCTCTTTCTGTGTACCCTACATCTGATCCAACAGTAAATCCTAACAATTTCAACTTAAACCACATCCACAATCAGAACCTCTCTCACTGCCTCTGCTGATACCAGCCCTGGCCTAAGCCATCATCATCTAATGTCTGCAACGTGGTACCAACCTCCAGGTGGCCTTCCTACTCCCACCCTCTTCCCACTACATTCTGTTCTCAACATAGCAGCCACAGCAACCCTTTAAAAACACAACTTAAACCATGCCATTCCTTCACTTAAAACCCTCCCATCTCACTCAGAGTACAAGTCAAAGCCTTCAAATAGCCAACAAGGCCCTAATCTAGTCCTTGGCTACCTTATTTCTCTATCCTTTTTTGACTCAGCTGCAGACTCCTGGCCCCTTGCCATTCTTTGAAAACAACACACAAGCTCCTGTCTCAGGGTTTTTGCACTTTTTATTCCTTTTTCTTGGAAGGCTCTACCTAAAATTCTCATCCCCCAGATATCCTTACTTCCTCTTCTCAAATGTCAACTTATCACTGGGTCTTGCCCGACTACCCTATATAATATATTAATAATAATTCCCCTTCCTTCTTCTCTATTCCACTTACCACCTTACAAACTATATTTATCTGACTTTAGGGGGTTACTGTTGATCACCTGCTCCCTCCACAAGAATAAGGACTGTCTGCTTTGTTCCCTGCTATATCCTCAGTCCCTAAACGTTGAGTGGAACATACTAGGCATTCAAAAATATTTCTGAAATAAATAAGATTTGTAACTCTAACATAGGTCTTTTCTTCTGAGCCTCAGACCTATACATTTCAATGCCTACTTCACACTGCCAAAGGGCTGCTACACAAATACTTCATTAGTACATCTAAAAGAATTATTCACATCTCTTCAAAATCCATCTTCTATATCTCAGTAGATGACAATCCCTCTGCCCAAAGTCTGTTTAGTCACACCAGAAACCTATTTTTCCTTTACCATTCCTTACCCCATATCCCATCTATCATCAAGTCCTAATGAAGCTGCCTTCTAAGTATATCTTGAATCCACCTATTTCTTTTTTCCTAGTCACTCCCACAACTGAGTCACCAATATGACTTATTAAGTCCATCATAAAAACAAATTGTTCTTTTGTATTATACCCATCCCACCCAATTTATTTTCTGTGGTACCAACTGGTGCCTGCTGAGGCCCTGCGACTCCCAAACTCCCAGCCCTTAGGCATCCGCCCGCTCCTCTTCAGAAGGTAAAGTACATCCTTTTCTGATGTGTGTTTGCCCTAGCAGGATTAATAGCCCTGGGAAATGGCTAACCTCACAACAGCTCAGGCTGACTTGTCTCAGTCCACGTTTCCTCCTTATTGGAGCCGTAAATTCCACTACCTTACCATACACCAAAGACCCTTACCTCACTCATAGCCAGTCAAAAATCTGTTCCCCTATTCCTTTGTGTTCACAGCCCCTTCCTCAATAAAAGACCCTGCACGTTCACCCTCAGTGCTCACACGCTTGCCTCTCATCCATGTGGCCTGCTGTTGTCTATGACAGTGTACCTAATAAACTCCTTCCCTATTTTCACCCTTTGTCTTTGGTAAATTCTTTTACCGCCCGAGACACCCTCCCACCCGTGTCCCTCAACACTTTCCACAAAGTAGACTGGTTTTTTAAAAATGCAATTTTGATCACATTAGTAACCCTTTAAAACCCTCCAATGAGCGCTCAATGAATTTAGGATAAAACCTAAAATCCTTAAATAGGACCTGAGGGTCCTTTGTGATATGAGTCCTGCCTACCTCCCTGGTCTCAGCATCTCTTCCATCATTTTCCATTTTGCCCACTGCGCTTAAGCCACAAAGACATTCAGTCAGTCCCTCAAACCTGTCAAGGTCTGCACATGGACTTTGCGTATGGTGATCCCATTTGCTGAACTGCTCTCTCCCCCAACCCCTTGCTGACTGACATTTCATCCTTCAGATCTCAGGTTAAATGTGATTTACCTGAGGCCTTTCCAGCCCCATCAATAACATTTTGTCTTCCCATTAGCCTCTTATAGCCCCTATACTTTTCCTATGAGGCAAGTAGGAAAAATTTGTATTTATATACCTATGTGTGGTCATTAGCTTTATGTTTTTTTTCCTTCTCAAAACTGCCCCATGAAAGGTGGGTGCACATCTATTCCTACACTGCTACAATATCTTGCATGATGAAAATGGTGATTGTTTTTATTCATCACCCCCAGTATACTTAGCAGTGCCTGTCATGTAAAAGCTCAAACATATCTGTAGAATGAAGGAAACAGTAAAGCACTATAAAACTGGTCTTTGGGGCTTTATCCCCTACGTTACATTCCTTCCGCTTTTAGTGCTGCCTGAGAGGGAACCTATTCTAGAACTCTGTGTCTCCTTAATTTCCCACTGATTCAGATATAGATAGAAAACAGTCTTTCTCTTTTCCTGCCAATAACCATTTCAGAAAATGAATGACACCTTGGGAACCACCACGAAAATTCCGAAGCCGAACAACCCAACCTTCCAGAGGGGTTTGACAAACACTGCACTTACCAATGAATGAACCTGTTTCTGGTGACGGAGAACAACTTGCCACTTTCCACATAGTAGAAGCCTCCCGCGCTCTCACTGTATTTCGCGGCTCCGGCCACGGCATCTGCAGTTCCTGCAAAAGGAGAGTGGGAAGCCTGCACACGTGGTTCTCCGGGGATGACACGCGCTGAGAAAGCGGAGGGTGATGGACTGACAATCCATACAAAACGAAGGGTGAGAAAAGGGGAAGAAGTAGGACACTAAAGAAGCTCTGATTCCGGGGCTATAGGCATGTGGGCTCAGAAGGATGAACTGGGGGTCAGATTTAGGGATCCACGGGAGGAGCCCGAGGCGAAGGATCGGATCGCGCCCTACGGGGATGCTGCCGTACCAATGCCGCAAACTGTGAATTCCCGAAAGTGCCTCGGCCTTTCGCGCTCAGCTCCGCTGAGCTCCACGAAGCTCCGTTCCAGGGCTCCCGCCGCCGCCATCTTCCCGCCGCCGCCGCGAGGCCCGACGGGACACCCGCGGGGCCGGGCGGCGGCGTCACTTCCGGAGGCGGAGCGAGCGGAGAGCAGACAGGTAAAGCGGCTGGGAAAGGCCCGGGGCGGGCTCCACTCTGAGCTGTGAGGCTTCCACCGACTTGGTTGGAGACAGGGTGGGCAGGGAGGAAGCCAGATGAGAGGGGCAAGGGGAGCCTGCAGACTCTATCTGCGGGAGCCTTTGCGTGGCGGGCTAGGAAGCCCCAAGGAGCGGCGCCATTTTCCCGGCGGCCTCAGGGCAGGGGGCGGGGCCGAGTTTGTTTCCATTTTAAAAACCGCGGCGCGGGCGGCAGGGCTGCGCCCCCCGGGAGGGGCGAGGTCCTGGGAGGCCGGGCGTATGGCGCCCTCTGCTGGATTCCGAGTTTGTCGTCACCTCTCCCTGCTCCGCGGTGTCAAGTGAATCTCCGCCCTGTCTCCTTTTCTTCACCTTCGGCGACCCTTGGGATGGGGAGTGAAGGGCAAGAGGCCTTTTGTTTGGTGTTGGAATTTTTTCAAGAGACTATATTCGTGTATGCTTATATAATGAATCATAATGTGTTCACTTAAACATTGATGCTGCCACCCTGCTGGGATTACCTGAATGCTGCTCGCTTGCATACGTGAAAAGGAATTTACCTTTCCTTCCATTTGTGATCCTGGATGTTTGGAAGGTATTGCGGCTTTACCCGTATATTTAGGGCAGAACAGATCCTCGATTTGGGGAGAAAATGCTAATTTTCAGGGGGAAAGGTGTTTTTTCCCTTGCTAGGCAACGTTTGTTAAGCACTTCTGTTATTGTTTCTTGTTGATACCGGTGGCCAGGACCCTTCTCTGTCCTTCTGTTTCATTTCTGTATTTTGGGTTGCTCTCCACTTTATTTCCAGCTCACTCCTAGGACACCAACTCCGGCCATGCAATCCCTTCGTCCCACCTACAATCCATTGTTCCTGTCATCTTTTCACTGTCCCTTACTACTTTGATGTTTCCTTCTGGCTCTGCTTAAATTCCATTTAATTTACTCCCTTGCCTAGCTCTCTTTCATCATCATACTCAGATAAAAACTACTACTTTAATTAACTCCAAGTCTGCAGCTGCGTAGAACTGGAGAAAAATGTGCAGATGCACTGGCCTGCCTCCCTCTGCCTCCATCATGACTCTGAACCTTCAGTGGGCCCATTCTGTTGACCACCAAACACACTGTACAGTAAAGTTGCTTTCTCCTTTTTGCCAGAAAGGAGGTACAGAAGAGGGGGTGACTTCCAGCCATACGTATACGTAGGTATATTTGTTTTCATATTCTTTTTCATTAAAGATATTGAATATAAATCTACCTTCATTCAAAAAAAAAAGATATTGAATATAGTTTCCTGTGCTATACAGAGGAACATTCTTTTATCTTTCCATTCAAACTTTTCCTCCTACAGCCTTCTGCATTTCCTTCTTAGATAGCTGAATCCACTCCAGTTGATCTTACTTTACGCTTGCTCTCCCTGTCTCTCTGTTTTCCAAATACACTATGATGTAACTCTTCCCAAACAGCACTTACATTGTTTTGTTTCTTTTTGTTTGGAGTCCTATTACAAAATACTGTATACTGGGGTTGGGGGGACGGTATAGCTCAGTGGTAAAGCGCGTGCTTAGCATACATGAGGTCCTGGGTTACATCCCCAGTACCGCCATTAAAAAAATAAACCTAATTACCTTCCCCCCCCCAAAGGGACTCTGGAGGAAAAAACAAACAAAAAAAACCAAATAAAAAAGAAAGATTCTATATACTGGGTGGCTTAAACAACTGACATTTACTGGTCACAGTTTTGGAGCCCTGGAAGTTCAAGATCAAGGCATTCAGTGTCTGGCGAGGGCCTGCTACTTGGTTCCTATACAGTCATCTTCTTGCTCTGTCCTCAGATGGTGGAAGGGGCAAGGGAGCTCTCTAGGGTCTTTTTTAATAGGGCACTAATCCCATTCATGAGGGCTCCTAATAACCTAATCACTTTGAGATTATAATTTATATAAACAATATCATATTTGGTCTTTGTCCCTCTTCCTGGCCCAGAGCACCTAAAACGCTTGGAATTTCCTAAGTGACGAGAGGATAGATATGTCTTTTGTTATGTTAATGAAGTAATGAAAGTTTCTGGGTAACCTAAGGATGGGGACGGGTTGCCAGGTGAACCAACCACTTGATTAGAGGGTTGGAACTTTCAGCCCTACCACCCCAACCCTTGAGGAGGAGAGAGAGGCTGAAGATTATGTTCAGTCGCCAGAGGCTAATGATTTAATCAGCCATACCTCTGAAATGAAGCCTCCATAAATAGAAAGGATGGGGTTTGGAGACCTTCCAGGTTGGTGAACCAGAATACATCCATGTTCCAGGCCCCAAACTCTATGAGAACAGAAGCTCCTGCATTTGGGACCTCGCCCTATGTATCTTTTCATCTGGCTGTTCGTTTGTATTCTTTAATTCTGTTTCTAGTAAGTGACTGGTTTTTTTGAGTTCTGTGAGTGACTCTAGCAAATTAATCAAAATTGGGGAGAACATCAAGGGAACCTCTGATGTATAGCCAGTTGGTCTGGCCATAGGTGACAACCTGGAGTTGTGATTGGCGTCTGAATTGGGGGCAGTGTTGTGGGACTGAGCCCTTAACCTGCAGAATCTGCTGCAATCTCCAGGTGGATAGTGTCAGAATTGAGTTAAGTTTGTGGGGCACCCAGTCAGTTTCTGGGAGGAAGTGAGTTAATTGCTTGGTGGTGTGGAAAAACCCCACGCACTGGACCTCCCCAAAGCCCCTCTTTCAAATACCATCATATTAGGATTACGTTCAACATGTAAATTTGGGGGAGGACATAAACATTCTGTCTGTACCACTTGTTAAAAACTTTCAGGGGCTCCTGTAGCCCTTATTTTCAAGATCTTTGTCCCTATTCAACTTTGTCTCTCTCCTTTTAATTTCTGCAGCTCCGTGAAGGAGAAACACTTTTTTTTTTGGTCCCAGTTGTCTTCATGCAGTGGGAGTCCCCGCTCGAGTCCAGGTGAGATTCAGTCATATCTGAGCACATCTGTCAAACTGGTGCAGTGGACTTGCCAGAAACCTATTTGCAAGAGGACTGAAAAGAGTCTCGGGAAACGATTTTGCCTTGGAGAAGGAACCTGGAGCGGTCCAACGATGCCGTAAGACTTGGCTGTAGTTGAGGGATCGTTTTGAGTACAGTGATTTGTTTCCCTCCCGACTTCCACTGGACTTGCCTCTGAGGCTGCTGTTGGCTGAGTAGGGGACTATAGCGAAAAAGAGACCAAGTTCATTACAAATTCTATGAGCATTGAGGGCCCGCAGTGTTTCACTGAGACTGCTGTCACAGAGAGTGCAGGAAAAGGAGAGAGCCAGCGTTCCCTCGCCCGGCCGCCAAACGACCCCAGAGCAGTTTTACCTATTTAAAGGCTCCACCACGTTGGAGGGAGTGCTTTCTTTCCATAAGTCTGGTGACCAAAGGGGTGGGGTAAGTACCTGGCAAGAACTGGTGTCCAGTAGAGCAAGGGTGGTCCTCCAGGGAGCCTGGAGGCTAGCCAGCACAGCAATTCTTTACCGTTGGCAGAACTACCTAGATTACTTAGAAATGGATTGTTTCCTAGGCAGATTGTGTCATGAACATAGACACCCCTTGGGTACTCCCAGAAATGCCTGAGGGACTGTTTAGCAGGGACTGAGAATCTGCCTAAGTAGGTGGGGGCAGAAGTCAGGAGAATTTGTTCACGTTTTTAATGTAACTGTGTTTTTACTCATGGGTCAGGGAAACTTGGATTTTACCAAGAATTATTTCACTTGTGAAGATGTTGCTGGCGATTAGGTTTTTGTCCTGTCCTGGAAAGAATTCAGAGACGGGACACGGAGGTTAAGAATGTAAAGTGAAGATTTATTAGGGGGTGGATAGTACATTCTCAAGGGGAGAGCGGGCAGGCTCAGGTGAGCAGCTGCCCTGAGTTTCTTTGGCAAGTTGGTTACATAGAGTGTAAAAATGAATGGGCAGGATATTCACTGGGGAGGGAAGGGTTTGGGGTCATAGTCCCTGATTTTCATCCCAACTCCACCTTCCCAAAGGGAGGACGGATTTTTGTCCTTATTTAGTCTTGATCAGAAGTATCATGGCGTTGGTGCATGATGGGTACTTCTAATCTGCAAGGCTAATTTTATTGAAATGAGGGCAAAATGAGCAAAAGATTACATTTGGACACTGGAGATTCCTGCCTTTCCCCACCTTTTTTTTAATCAGCCTCCAGGTCGCTCTTCACTTTAAAAGCTGTGACCGCTGATCAGCCCAGAGGTTCCTGCTTTCCATTCTCTGCCCAGGGACCCCTGGTGCTTACATGATGTGTGATTTCCTGCATTTGGCCTGTGCCCCTCCTTTCTGCCCAATTCCTGCCATTTGGCCTGCATCCCCCTTTCTCTGCTCATATCTAACTGTCAGCCTGCTCTAACAATGTCATCCTTCTTTTAGAGTTCTGTGTGCTTGATTGTATGATTTTTTTATTGCTGCTGTAGCAAATTACCAGATTTA